CTCACAGAAACAGAGAAATAACGTGTCCACACACATGCCGTAGACGCTGAAGAAGCCATGGGCAATCAGGTAGGAGCCAACGATCACTGTCTGGGTAAGGGGACAGGAGCTGTTCCCACCTGGTCCCCTCACCAGGTCCCTCCCAGGCGGGGATTATGTCATCCTTCTGCTAATAAGCCTTATACTAACAACCCAACTCCTCATCCTGTGGGCAGGGCCCAACTGTCCACAGGACATTTCTTGCTCTCTTTAATAACCCCAGGGCCTTGGCACATGCTGTTGCCCTGATTTAGTATAGTTTATCATGCCTTCTCGTCGTTCTGCTTTAAGCTCAAACATCAAGTCCTCAGGTACCAGCTCCTCCAAGAAGCCGCCTCTGACATCTAGACCCTCTTTTATGCATTCCTAGTACTGAGCACCCCTCCTCTGAGACCTTCATCTGGCTGCATGTTTAGGACATTACAGGTTTAATGCCTACGTCCCCACTAGACTGCGTCTGTCCCAACAATTGCTGTACCTCCAGCAATATAGTGACTCACAGGGCCTTGATAGGTATGTGAAATTGACTCTAGCAAGTGGACCTTAGAGAGATTAAATAACTTGTCCAAAGTTACACATCCTAAAACTAGCAAAAAAGAGGACTAAGATAAAAATCTAGGTCATAGGGCTCCAAGGCCTGCCCTCAGATACGGTATTCCTTAAGGTGATGACTTAGCTCCTCCACCTTCTTCCCCCTTCACTCCCTCCACACCAGCCACAACACTGGTTTTCTCACTGCTCCTGGCATGGTTCTGCCTCAGGGCCTCTGTTCTTATTGTTCCCTCTACCTAGATATTTCCTGCATCTCTTTCAGATCTTAGATCTGTCATCACTTCTGCAGTGAAGCCACCTGGACTCTTACACCTGCCCAAATCCTCTACCTCAGGCTCAAACAGTTCCCTAATTTTTCCCCGTGGCATGTACCAGTTTGCAAGCATGCATCCACCCATATCATTATTGATTAATGTCTATTTACCTCTAAACTATAAAGCTTCCAGAGAGAAGCCCTTACTCCCCCTGTTCCTGGTACACGGTAGGTGCTTTACAGATGTTTGTGGGCTGAATAAATAACCAATCCCCTACTTCTGACCCCCACCCACATCTGTCCAGTCAAAGGAGGCCAGGTGAGCCCCAACGCCTCCTTCTCCCACCACTTCCACCCACCCTCAAGGTCCATACCAGTATAGGAACCCAGTAATAATTGAGGGGCGGTGCTGTGTCTTGTACAATCCTAATACGGTGGGTGAAGAAGAAGAAAGCCAGGATCCCTGGAGAGGAAGAGAAAACCAAGATGGTGAGGGTTCTGGTTAAACGAGTAGTGCCCTCCAGAAGACCCCAGCCATCACATAAGACATGGGGACCCCACACCCCCACAAGCTGAGTGAGTGGCACTCACCCACACTACCCACAATCAGAAGTTTGCCCAACAGGAAGAGGAAGTCAGTAACTTTGTCCAGGACAGCCACTCTGCAGGGAAGGATAAGGAGCAGGTGTGAATGCTAGCTCAGAAGCCTGGGGAGGAGGGAGGCAGCGAGAGGATGGTGTTTTCCCTGACCTGATGATGTTTCTCATGAGCAGGAAGAAGGCATTCCTGGCTGAGGTGCAGCAGTTGGTGCCATAGATGGCGATCTGGAGTGGGGTAGGAGGGGAGGATCAGGCCCCCTGGATAGGAATGAGGGTTCTTCCCACCCAGCAGGAACTGGCAGGTTGATTCTGGGTCCGAGGCCTACTCACCATGATGTAG